GATTCGAACCCGCCACCTTAGGTGTATGTGGCTGGCGCCTTAGCCGCTTGAGCCACAGGCGCTGAGCCAAAGTTCTAGTTTTAACTTTCCGCTTTAACTTATAAGGCAACTACATGTCAGAATCCTTATTTATAAAATGATGATGTCGGTGGTGAACAATTTCCTAGGTACTTTTCAATGAGTTTATGACAAGATTTTTATTTTATATATTCTTGTTGTTCATGTGAAACACAATGCTTATGCATGAATTGCTAGATGCTTTTTGAAATTTTATTGTCAGCATTTTATTTAGCTTTTGCATTAGTATTCTATTGCAGCTATAACAAATTACCACAAAATTAATGTTAGAAAATAACACGAACTTATTAGCTTGCAGTTCTGTAAGTCAGAAGAGTCAAAGGGCTCACTGGGTTAAAATCAAGCCATCAGCAAGGCTGCATGCCTCAGTTGCATTCCTCAGCTGCATTCCTCAGCTGCATTCCTTGGCTTTTCTGTCTCTTCCTCCGTCTTCAGAGTTACAGAGGCAAGTTGAGTCTTCCCCAGAACGAATCACTGTGACCCTTCTTTAGTCACATCTGCCTCTGAACCTCTTCTGCCTCCGTCCCCGCATTCAAGGGCTCTTATCTTTATATTGGGTAATCCAGGAAAATCTAACCACTTGAAAGTCAGCTGATTAACAACCTTAGTTCCATCTCCTACCTTCATCCCCAAAGACACAGATTCCAGGTTTGGAATATAAACGTTTATAGGAGGCAGAATAACCTACTCTCTATGTACACTGCACTCATATGGCACTTCCAAGGTACTGTTCCTTGGAGTATCTCTCATTCTCCATGAATTAAATACATTCCTCTTAACACCAAAGCTGCCTTCATATACGATTTTCTATCTTTGAAATGATACATCTTCCTACCACCAAATCAATCATCATTTATTTCTTTATGAGGAAGTATGAAAGTGACTGGGAAAAAATTTTTTCCGAAGGATAGAGTGATTAATTCTCTGGACTTCCTTTGTCAATTTCTATTACTTTTCAGTTTAAAAAGTTAATGACAATGTCACTTATTAGATCTTTAGGCAGATCTATATAGCTAAAGTATGACTGGTCTTTAGTTTTAATCATATACTGTGGGAAAGAACTTAATGTTCTCCTTAGCACCTTTGTTTCACAAAAGTATGCAGTCCTAGGAAATTAAAGTATATTAATCATACCTAGTATCTCTTTATAATGATACATTGTATCCCTAAAAGCTTTCTACGGAGGAAGGAAAAATGTGGATTTAATATTTGACATGGTTGCTTATTGGGACAGTAGAGCATGGTGATTAAGGATGTGGCCTGTGGGATTCAAATGCCTGGGTTTATATCTTAGCCCTACATCCTGAACTTTGGGCAAGTTGCTTAGGCCAAATTTATCTCCCTATAGGATGGCCTGAAGGTTTGTTGTGGAGAAAATGGAGGTGAAGTAGTACTACAGTAGTTAGCTCATGATACTCAGTGCCTGATAGTCACTGTTGTTTCTGCTGTTCTCATAGCTGGTGTCTTATCATGATTGTTCAATTGACTGTTCCTCCCACTTTGTTTTAAAGTATTCAACGTAGTGAATATGCCACATTCACTTTTGTATCTCTTATTCTGTTCACCTATCATTAGGTACAGTGTAGAATTGATAAAAATGCTATAGGAAGATTTTTCAATATATGTGTCTGTTGTCCATGGATTAGGGAATCAGCCGTACTATTTGTTTGCCAGTAAGTGAAAACTGACAGATTGACATACAAAATTAAAAAGGAAGTGATCAGATAGTCTGGACTTCAGGATAAAAATTAAAATTAATTGCATAAGAAGCAAGGAAATAGTTTAAAAGATTTCTTAAATTCCTTTGGTTATAAAAGTAGTTTTAGAGGCGATGTTCTATTCCTGAAATTGTGCTCAATTTTACTAATAGGTCATGATTAAGAAAGTGCTATTGAAATTAACACAGTGACTCAATGAAGTGATTTTCATTGTGTGACTTTAGCTTGCAGGAGGGTTCCTACTTATTATCTCATGCAGCAGAAGATTCCTCACTCCTGATCTATAAGACCTCTGATGGAAAAATTACAAGAACAGCATATAATTTGCATAAAACACATTGCGGCCTTCCTGGTGTACCTTCCAGTCTCTCCGTTCCCTGGGTCCCGCTAGATCCCAGTCTCTTGTTACCATATCATATCCATCATGGAAGAATACCGTGTACTTTCCCACCTAAATCACTGGATCCTATAACACAACCAAAGGTAAAATCTTCTTTGAAATTAAAATGTTCATTATGTTGTTTGTTATTTATTTGTTTCACTGACTATACCATATTTTAACCTAACATCCACATTTATTCTAAAAACTGTATGCACTGGAAGGATAGATAGAAGTGTATGCTCTGCTGAGTTCAGTGGAACGATTCATTTTCGTCAAGTTTATAAAATTCTTCTAGTTTGCCTAGTAGATGCATGGGTGAGGTAGCCACATAGTTAAATCTCTATCTTCGTACGCAAAGCAAAGCTGTATTTTTAAAAAATGTTTGTTTATGCATGTCGTATTTCATTTTATTAAATAGTTGAGTCAATTTGTAGAAGAATACATATAATAAAAGCATGATATAATTAAAAATTGATAAGTAGGATATGTAAAAATAAGGTGAGTATTAGTGATTAGTGAATCAAGGACCTTTTTAAAAACTCAGAAGTGTTAAGGACTAAATTGTTTTGCTAGGTATTGTATAACTTAATATTTATTGAGTTATAATTAATATTACTCTTTCTATAGAAGCTTTCCCAGAAATACTAGCTGAATGTCATTTCTCTATCTGAAATTTGTAAAGCCATGGCTATTGGTATTCTCAACCAGATCTCTCATTCTTTAAATCATGTAAGAAGTTCCAATTCGAATTTAATTACAGGAAAAGTTTTACTCTAAGAAGGAAAATGAATGTTTGGGAAACAAAATCTCAGTGTGTTCTCCTTACTTGTTGCCAAAAATCTTTGAGTCAAAATTATCGTGTGAGCTCCGTAATCTCAGTATGTTTGCCCCAGAGCATATACCATAGCACTTGTGTGTCATTTGGGAATTCTGTTCTTTTTTTCCCTTCTGTGTTATACTGAAGTGACCTGTAAATGTCCTCAAGTGCTTTTGAGAAATAGCTGGAATGCCAATGCTGAGGACTTTTTAATAATTTGCAGTGAGCAGGGTTGATTATGTTTTTCGGTTCTCCACCCTAATGTTACTGTGTGGGCGTATCCCTTTAGAAATGAGAACTCTCTGCACATTTTAGCTTTGGCCAGGAAAGTGTACGTGTGGCTAACTTGCTGTGCAAGGGAAAGAGTAGAGAAAGTTGTTAACATTTTAAGCTCTTTTCTCTACAATTTTGGTTGAGTATTTCCAGTTTAATATAAGTAGTAATTTTTATAACCTCCTAAGGGAAAAATTTCTTAAAAATAATTGAACTGTTTTTGAAGGGTCTATGTTCTTTCTATGAGAATGATTTCTTTTTAACTTAGAAGCTACTGATTGTAGTCTGTTAACCGATAGCATATAATTCTGGGTGGGAGTGGCTTATTCTTTTTTAGTGGAAACAAAGAGTTTAATACCTTGGCACTGAAGAACTTTAAATGATAGGAGAAATTTGTTATGTTGCTCAAAGTGTTTTCTAAAAAAGAAGTACTATACTTTCCTTATTGCCAGAGACTGACACTAAAATAATGTTGAGTGCTTTATGCTTTGAAAATACCTCAGTGATTTGATATTTTTAATAATATGGTTCAAAATGTGCATTAGTACAATAAGAAAACAACTTACAATCATGTTTCACTCGATGATGGGGATACATTCTGAGTGTACTTACACTCAGAATGGTATAACTTTTTAACTTTTTTTATTTTTATTTTTTTATATTTTTTGGCCGGGGCTGGGTTTGAACCCACCACCTCTGGCATATGGGGCTGGCGCCCTACCCCTTTGAGCCACAGGCACTGCCCAGAATGATATAACTTTGATGGTATAGCCTCCTACATGGGAGCCTTTTGCTTTTCAGCTGCAAACGTGTGCAGCATATAACTGAATACTATAAACAGTTTTAACACAAACATATTTGTATCTCTAAACATAGATAAGAGGATGCATTATGCCAGGATGTAACTAAGTGATAGGAAGTTTTCAGCTCCATTATAATCTAATGGGACCGCCTTCATATGTGCAGTCTGTTATTGATCAAAACTGTTGTTGATCAAAAGCTTGGCTCCTGTAGCTTAGGTGGCTAGGGTGCCAGCCACATGCACTGGAGCTGGCGGGTTCAAATCCAGCCTGGGCCCGCCAAACAACAATGACAACTACAACCAAAAAATAGCTGGGCATTGTGGTGAGCGCCTGTAATTCCAGCTACTTGGGAGGCTGAGGCACAAGAGTTGGAGGTTACTGTGACGTGTGACACTGTGGCACTCTACCAAAGGTGACAGCTTGAGACTATCTGAAAAAAAAAAAATTATTAGGCAGTGCACTTGGAGAAATTCCATATGTTCACAGTTGGGCCACATAAATGTAAGTAAACTTTAATTCAATTACATATGTACATGGTGTGACAATTAAGTTTGTGAACTTATCCTAGAAAAGTGCTACAACCTCATTGCTGAATAGCACTATGGTCACCTTCAAGGTGCTCTCCTTGGGAAGCTGTGTGCAGACACAGTGCCTAGTCTCCCCTTCAGAGCAGTTTTGGAATTTTTTTCTGAATGGCTATAAGAGCTGTCATCATACAGTGTCTGTGAAGTTTGCAGACTCATCCTAGCAGAGTGGTACTTACCTCATTGCTGAACATCACCGTGTCACCTTCGAGCCTTCAGCCACCTGGTGACTGTGGTGATATTCAGCAATGAGGTATGTAGCACTGTTTCCAGAATGAGTTCGAGAATTTAATTATCTGACCTTGTATATCACTAAGCAGTTATTGATTTATATATAAAGGCTGTCTGGGCTATATACTTTCCTGACAGCCTTCATATATGTATATATTTTATATTTATGTAAATGTATATAATTTTTTGTTTATTTGTTTGTTTAGATATAAGGTCTCACTTTGTCAGCCAGGCTAGAATGTAGTGGTGTGAACCTTGAACTCCCCAGCTCAAACAATCCCCCTGCCTCAGCCTTTGGAGTAGCTAGGACTATAGGCACAAGCCACTACACTGAGCTAATTTTTCTATTTTTCGTAGAGGCAGAATCTTACTTTTGGTGGAGGTTAGTCTCAAACTCCTGGCTTCAAGCAGTCCTGTTGCCTGAGCCTCCCAAAGTTCTGAGATTACAGATGTGAACCACCATGCCTGGCCAATTAATATTTTTTAAGATATTTCATACATTTATCTTTCATACGTTTATGAAATATTTAGCAAGTTTATCTAGGACTAGGTTGTTGTATAGCCCAGCTTTCAGTAAACAATTAGGTAAGTAATACTTGGCTTGATATATTCTTGAAAAATGATAGAAAGTTTTAGTTATCTCCCATTCCTACAATCTAGCATTACATTTGGTAGGAATCACCCTGTCTTCCTCCTAGCCAGACCACAGGAATGGGCCTTTTAAATCTGAAGCTAGGTACAGATAAGGGATTCTAACCTAGCAGCAGTGGATCAAATCAGAGATTTTAAGAAACCAGAGAAGTTAAGTCTTATATGAAACAAATGATCTGCGTATTTTCATGGTGTGAAACCTCATCTAACAAATGTTTTTACCAATATGATTTCATAGTGCTAGTCTGTAGTCTACTTGAACTCAGAGGTCATCCTGCTGTACTGCCTTTGGCACTGAAATGCTGTCACCTCCTTGGCCACTGAGAGGGCATAAAGGAATAAGGAAAGGGGAAGGAAAGACTTTGGGGAATACAGAGGACAGGAAAATGCTGAGAGACAGCCACCTCCGCCCCCTCCTGCGCCAAGCAGAAATGTTGCTGAAGGGTCCCTTCAGCTTCCTGTGCTACTTTTGAATTCCCCTCCCAGTCCTTCTGCAGCTGCTCTGTACTTACTCCTTTCTCCTTCTACAAGTTCTGTGATAAGCATTCCTTTTGCACACACACACACACATAGAATCTTGCAATAGAAGTTTTCAAAATATTTGCTTTTCCCAAAGAGTAGTAGATGCAATTAGTGTGGCAGTTTATAGGAAATACCAGAGGAGTGCGAGTGGTATATAGGTAATCTAAAAGTGACAGTACTTTTCTAGTCAGTATGTTACAAAGTTCATCAGATTCACCAAGACACATGGGCAGACTCAGGTCCCTACTCAAATTTGTCCTTTTTAGCCATGTAATTATAAACCAAAACATGCTGTTTAAGGAGACAGTGGAAGTAGGTCAGGGAAGCTGGGAGTCTGATTCATTCTTAGTGAGCCAGAAGCCCCTTACAGCAATGCTGGTATTATTTCTCTTGGACAAGGAATATGAGAGAATGTTTTTGGATTTACAATGTCATCCATCACTCCCAGGCCTGGAATTCATTGAACAGGATGTGAAGAAACAGAGTGCAAGATGGCTACGGAAAATAGAGGCGGATGGGGGCAGGTTCTGTGGAAATGGTTTCAGACTGTACAGCTTTGGTTCTTCTCTATGAGATCGGACCTTCTGTGTTATTAAAAACCTTTATGCTCTCTCAGTGGCCAAGGAGGTGACAGCATTTCCAGATCTCATCTGTAATAGCACTACAATTAGCAAGGGATTGAGTCCTAAAAATAGAACACCTCTCTTTGTTGGGCCCTGTGAGCTTGGAAATGGGGTGAGGAAGGTGGAATCAGCACCACAGTAATTTCTCCCCATTCCCCCAACTCAAAGGAGTTTCTTCCCTCTTCCCCTTTTCCTGTCCTCTGTAATCCCCAAAGTTTTTCCTTCCCCTTTCCTTATTTCTTTTTTGCTCTTCTCTTTGTCCCCTTCACCCTTCCTTTCTGTTTGGATTCTTCTCTTCCCTTCCTTGCTTCAGGTTCACTCCTTTTTTCTTCTCCTTTCAGGGACTGTTCTTTTTTCATACTTTGTCTTTCTTCGTTTTCTTTCCTTCCTTCCTTTCCTTATTTTATTGTCTTTGTTTTTTCTCTATATAATTTCTTCTTCTTTACCACTTCTGACCTTCTCCTTGTATCTTCTTTCACTCTCTTCCAATTTCCCATTTCTCCTCCCCCCACCCTTTTTTTTGCCCTTTAGCTTGGTAATTATAAACACATTGCTCAAAAGGTCCGCCATTCTCATTTCCTAATTTAAAACATCAGCCTCTTCTAAACGTAGTACACTTCTCTCCATCTATCTATCCTGTCTTCCCCCTTCTGATTGCTGTTTTAAGTTAGTACTCTAAAACTGTCAGATTAAAACTTGTCCAGAAACCGGAGACTAAAAATATACAGTATCATTCAAAAGGCGATTAACACACGTATAAACAAAGCAGGGTTGATTACACGTAGGTATGTTGTAAATACATTAAGCTAGTCTGTTCTTCGCCTCATCTCCTAGGTTGGTGGAACAAGAATGCCTACACGCAGCCACAGGAATCCAGTTTCCAAGGAAACCTAAAGCAGTGGCTTGCCTGCTCAGCAAGTGGAACATGAAGGAGTGGCTCCAAGTAAAAGGGAAATAATTTAAGGATTATGCCATGGGAAAGAAAATTCAAAAAAACTCATTATAACAATATTTAATTTAGAAAAGTTTGAGAAGAAATATGCTTAAAAGATCAGTAGAAACATTTCTCCTAGCTTATCCTCAAGAGTTCTTAGAGTGCCTTGAAAAAAATAATGTTGGTGATATGAAGAATGTTTCCGTGAAATGGAATGTTAGTCTCTTCGCTCTTAAAGTTTGAGGAGAATCTAATGTACCTGTTTGAACGTTATTATAACAGGGAAATGTATTAAGAAGAAAAATATTTTTACATTAGATCTTTTTTAAAAATTGTAAATAGATTTTTTTTAAATAACACTTATTATGTACTATGTTAATAATTTGAGTTATATATTGCCAGTCTGTTGAGACTAGGTCAAAAGGTCAAATATGACCAATGTCATGTATAGTTGTGAGCATTGCTACCCTTGTTTCTGACTCATTTTGATAGTTTTTGCTTACCGCTTCAAACTGATGATCGTTGCAAGTTAATAAAGTTAATACCTTTAAAAACCTGGTGAAATTCTACTGCAGAAGCAAAAAATAAAAAAACTCCCTGCGTCTTTAAAGTCACCAGTTCACATTTTCTTGTTGAGTAACCATCAGTTTGTTTAAAAAAAAACTTTTGTGGTGCAACAGGTTTGGTGACAAGTGTTTCTATATCTTGATACAGATCCAAGCTGAGTGTTGAAATCTACTGAAAGCAGAGATGAATATATTTTCCAGAAAAAATTTCAAACTGACAAGGTTAATATGGTAAAACATAAGCTATTTGTTCCTCATTTACACTGAGTAGTTTAAATTTTCTGGGACCACAAATGAATTTGGAAAAGCATAATTAACTGAAGTTACTGTAGCAAATTTAGATTTAAGAAGGTACAGGCTTATTTAAGTTTCAGAACTCTGTTCTTCAGTGTACACTCAAATTTTCAGAAATAATGTGTGTCCTTTGTAAATTACAAATTTTGTGATCCTAGCCAGTATTCACTTTTTTGTAAAATTTACGTGTTCTATAAATGTAAGAATTTAAGCCTAAAAATCTCCTCAAATATTTAAGTAACTGTTGAAATATTTATCTTCTGGGCTCAGCACCTGTGGCTCAAGTGGCTAAGGCGCCAGCCACATACAGCTAAGGTGGCAGGTTCGAATCCAGCCCGGACCCACCAAACAACAATAATGGCTGCAACCAAAAAATAGCTGGGCGTTGTGGCGGGCACCTGTGGTGCCAGCTACTTCGGAGGCGGAGGCAGGAGACTCGCTTGAGCCCAGGAGTTGGAGGTTGCTGTGAGCAGTGAAGCCATGGCACTCTACCCAGGGGGACAGCTTGAGGCTCTGTCTCAAAAAAAAAAAAAAAAAATTATCTTCTGCTACCAAGTTTTGTTTTGCTTTGATTTTTTTTTTGGTTATAGAATATTTTTATTATTTAACAAGTAATTATTAGTAAAAATGGTCTTATGTATCTTAATACTTCATTTCCTTATCCTTCCATTCCCTTTTTCAAAACTGAGCTGAGCTTTTCTTAAAGTCATGTATCCTAGAAACGTTTTAGTTATGAATCATTTGACAGTGAGCCAAGGGAAAGGCAGGGATTCCCTTGGAATTTCCTCTTGCAAAAGCTGGACAATGGCTAGGGATAGTGGCTTAGGCCTGTAGTCTCAGCACTTTGGGAGGCCAAAGTGGAAGATAGCTTGAGTCCAGGAGGAGTCTGAGACCAGCCTGGCAACAGAGACCCTGTCTCTACAAAAACTAAGAAAAGTAGCCCTGTGTACTAGCACATGTGCCTGTAATCTCAGCTACTTGGAAAGCTGAGGCAAAAGGATCCCTTCAGCCCGGGAATTCCAGGCTGCAGTGAGCTATGGTGGCACCACTGCACTTCAGCTGGGCAACAGAGCCAGACTCTCTCAAAACAAAACAAGACTCTGTCTCAAAACAGCTGGGCAATGATTGCCTCAGACTTCTGAATACCAGGAAGATTTGGCTTTCATTATTTTAACGTTACTTTTCACATACCTACAAGTGATTTTGATATTATCTTGGCTGTCTATTTAAATAACTCTGATAATATACAAAGCTAGGTTTTCACTGGAATGTAATGAAGTCTCCTTTTTTTAAACATATACAGAGGATGCAAAAAAAATGTATACACATTTTATGAAAGGAAAAAACTGTATTAAAATTGTAGTACCCAGCTCGGTGCCTGTGGCTCAAATGGCTAAGGCGCCAGCCACATATACCTGAGCTGGCAGGTTCGAATCCAGCCTGGGCCCGCCAAACAACAATGATGGCTGCAACCAAAAAATAGCCAGGCGTTGTAGCAGGCGCCTGTGGTCCCAGCTACTTGGGAGGCTGAGGCAAGAAAATCACTCAAGCCCAGGAGTTGGAGGTTGCTGTGAGCAGTGACGCCATGCCACTCTACCCAGGGCGACAGCTTGAAGTTCTGTCTCAAAAAAAAAAAAAAATTGTAATACTCAATATACACCAATAACAAAAGATGAATTCAGGTCACGTGGAGCACCCTCATAATTGCAGAAGTCCAGTGTAACTTGAGTATTAGGAATTTAATACAGTTTTTTCTTTCTTAAAATGTACATACATTTTTTGGTACCCTCTGTATTTGATTATGTCTTATGTTCTCTTTTTTTTTTTAATTTTTAGTACTAAGAATTTATAAGCAAAGAAGTGACATTGACAATATGAACAAAGATTTTTTTCTTTCTAAATCAAACTCAGTATTAGCAAAGAGGTGATGACCCAGACCACCTGTACCTCAGTGGTGAAGGCATAAGGTATGCACAGTTCTGGAAAACAGTTTAATGAAGTGTTGGAGCACAGCTGTGTGTTGTGTAATCTAAGGTAGGTCCCCACTGTTACTCATCCAGCATTCACTTTTCAGATCTCACAATATTTATTTGTTGATTTGACTTACTGTTACTGTATTTCTTCTTGAACAGACTACAGTCTCTGCAAGGATGGGGCATGTTTATTTATTTTTTCACCATTAATTAACAAATACCTAACACTGTGCCTGTCATGTAGTTGCTCAGTAGGTGTAAGTTGGATAATGAATAAATGACTGTGTATACAAGGGCGGATTTTTTTTCAGGAGCTCACATTCTGGTGGAGAACACAACACGGATTTATGTGAGAGCTGTGATAAAGTAATATAAGAAAGTCATCCAGCCAGATCTTTTTAGTGAAGAAAGGTTTTCCAAGATAAAGCTTGAGCTTGAATCTTTTAAAATGTGTGGGAGTGGCTCGGCGCCTATAGCTCAACCAGCTAAGGCACCAGCCACATACACCTAAGGTGGCGGGTTCGAATCCCCAGCCCGGACCCGCCAAACAACAATGACGGCTGCAACCAAAAAATAGCCGGGCGTTGTGGCGGGCACCTGTGGTCCCAGCTACTTGGGAGGCGGAGGCAGGAGACTTGCTTGAGCCCAGGAGTTGGAGGTTGCTGTGAGCTGTAATGCCATGGCACTCTACCCAGGGGGACAGCTTGAGGCTCTGTCTCAAAAAAAAAAAAAAAAAAAAATGTGTGGGAGTTATAAAGGGAAAGTGAAAGATCTTCCATAAAGAAAGAAAACAGGATATGAACAGGTGAGAGATGGCCAGGCCATGGGAGATGAGAGAAAACTATAGGCCAGGGACAGATGGGCCACGTTATGGCATTTGAATTTCTTTTCTGTACATTGTGGGCACTACAAATGAAGTGTAATAAAGTTAGTAACATTGTCAGGTCTGCGTGTGAGAAAGCTCCTGTTGGCATTTGAATGACGTGGAGCTGGGAAACACTGTAGGGAGAGAGGGAGAAAAGTTGGGAGTCTGTAGTGTCGTAATTGGAAAATGCTAAAGCCCAGGATTAAAGCAGTTAAGAGTAGGGTGGGCTCTAGTGATATAGAAGAGAAAAAAATAGCGAGATTATGTGGCTGGTAGGGAGAGCGAGGGGCCGCTCCCAGGCTCTGGTTTAGATACTGGGTGGTGGTGGTGCTGATTGACACACTAGAAGGAGTGTGGTTAGACTGGGAAGAAAGTTCAGTTGAAGTGTTTATTTCCTTTAACCATTTCTACTTGGGGATTTTGAGTTTGGATGCTATACATACTGGTTATCTACAACCAATTTTCTGTGTAATAAATTACCCCAAATTTAGCTTTCTTAAAACAACAAATATTTATTATTGCACTTTTGCTGGTAAATCAGGTGTTCAGTTGCCACTCAGCTGGGTCCCTCTAGAGGGGGAAGGTTTCTCATGTTGCAGTCAAGCTGTTGGCTGGGGCTGCAGTCATCTAAAGGCTCGATTAGGGCTAGAGCGTCTGCGTCCAAGAAGGTTCACTCACTGGGTGTTGGTGGGAAGCCTACGTTTGTCACTGGTTGTTGACTTCGGATCTTCACCACATGCACCTCTCTTTAGGTCTGCTTGAGTGTCCTCATGTCACGGCAGCTGGGTCACCTGAGAGCAAGCAGTCAGAACAAGGAGGAAGCCACAGTGGTTTTATGACCTAGTCTTGGAAGTCACTCACTTCTGCCATACTTCTCCTTATTAGAAGAAAGGTACTAAGTACACACTTAGCTCCTTTCCTTGAAGAGAAAGAACGTCTGAATATATTTTTAAATCACCACATATGCATTTTAGGAATATAGAAGAATTAGGTCCAGCATGGAAAGAAGAAAGGACACTTTTTTTTTTTTTTTGAGACGGAGTCTCAAGCTATCCCCCTGGGTAGAGTGCCATGGCATCACGCTCACAGCAACCTCCAACTCCTGGGCTCAAGCGAGTCTCCTGCCTCAGCCTTCCAAGTAGCTGGGACTACAGGCACCCGCCACAGCGCCTGGCCATTTTTTGGTTGCAGCCATCATTGTTGTTTGGCGGGCCCGGGCTGGGGATTCGAACCCGCCACCTTAGGTGTATGTGGCTGGCGCCTTAGCCACTTGAGCCACAGGCGCAGAGCCAAAGAAAGGACACTTTAAAG